TATGTGTTTGTGTGAACAACATGGAGGTCTGTGTGTTTGTGTGAACAGCACGGAGTTCTGTATGTCTGTGTGAACAACCTGGAGGTCTGTGTATTTTTGTGTGAACAACATGGGAGTCTGTGTGCATTTGTGTGAACAACATGGAGGCCTGTGTGTTTGTGTGAACAACATGGAGGTCTGTGCATTTGTGTGAACAACATGGAGGCCTGTGTGTTTGTGTGAAAAACATGGAGGTCTGTATGTTTGTGTGTACAACATGGAGGTCTGTGTGTGTTTGTGAGAACAACATGGAGGTCTGTGTGTTTAAGTGAACAACATGGAGGTCTGTGTGTTTGTGTGAACAACATGGAAGTCTTTGTGTATTTTTCTGTGAATAACATGGAGGCCTGTGTTTGTTTGTGTGAACAACATGGAGGCCTGTGTTTGTTTGTGTGAACAACATGGAGGTCTGTATGTTTGTGTGAACAACATGGAGGTCTGTATGTTTGTGTGAACAACATGGAGGTCTGTGTGTTTGTGTGAACAACATGGAGGTATGTGTGTTTGTGTGAACAACATGGAGGTCTGTGTATTTTTCTGTGAACAACATGGAGGTCTGTGTATTTTTCTGTGAACAACATGGAGGTCTGTATGTTTGTGTGTACAACATGGAGGTCTGTTTGTTTGTGTGTACAACATGGAAGTCTGTGTGTTTGTGTGAACAACATGGATGTCTGTGTGTGTTTGTGTGAACAACATGGATGTCTGTGTGTGTTTGTGTGAACAACATGGAGGTCTGTGTGTTTAAGTGAACAACATGGAGATCTGTGTGTATTTGTGTGAACAACACGGAGGTCTGTATGTTTGTGTGAACAACATGGAGGTCTGTATGTTTGTGTGAACAACATGGAGGTCTGTATGCTGCCAGAGTTATTAGAGCTGCCTGCCTCTGTTCTGCAGTAATGTCTTTCTTACATAATGAAGGCCCTCAGGGCACTGCTGGGGAAGGGGTTGGACTCACGACGAGTGTGATACAGTTAGACTGCACAGCTGCATGTGAGGAAGCTTGAACACACACACAAAGACTTAATTGACAAAAATATTTCACAACTACACAAAATTTAACAAAAGACCTTAGTTTTTGGTTATAAAAAAAGTTAAAAACAGAGGTACACTGTACTTCCTGTATGACACAAGGAATTCAGTATGTATGGTCCTCCATGTTTGTATGAACAGGAACACCCACCCACACACATACACACACACAAGCTCATAAACGGTATTGTCATGCAGGATCCACAGAGCCTGTTGGAGCCCCATCAGTGCTAACACAGATAATGGCCTAGATCACACACTAAAAACTAGGCCTGGCTCTCTCTCACTAACACACACATGCACACACAGACACACACAGTCTCATGCACTCTTTAACACCATCACTTTGTCTCCAATTTGCACTCTTCTCTACTGTATTCTGGCTCTATTCCTCGCTACCTTCTTGTTGCTGCAGTTGGCAGCAACAGTGAAATCTCACTGCACAATTTCATGAAATAAATGTGATACAACACGTTGTTGGGACAGTTTTGATATTTAATATAGTAACAATATTATGTACTAACCACTGAGCTGTTGTGGCTCAGTGGTTAGAGCAATCATCCTCCAACAATAGAGTTGGGGCTTCAATTTCTGGAAGTATGCGGTCACATGCAAAGTGTCACTGAACAACACAATGAACTCCTCATTGCTTCTGGTGTGTCCCATCTGTGTAGGAATGTCTTATATAGCACAGATTTTACTATATAACAATTCAGATTACCTTGCAGAGATGCAGTATAATACTTTGTATAGTGGTGTATGAATGTGTGTGTGGAGGTAAATAAGGGCACAGATTGTGTTGTAAAGCTCTTTGAGTAACCTGGCTGGCTAGAAAAGCACTATATAAGTACAGTCCATTTACTATATATAATAAAAATAATAGTAATACATAACATATAGTATATAAAATTGATACACGGCTAAAATTTTGTGACTGAGGACACTGTTCATGCATGGAAATACTCTGTTTTACAAAGTACTTTGCTGTTGTCATTCTAGGATAGAAACGTTTATTTCTACTGGAGGAAAGTTTATGGTCAATATCTTACCTGATAGTTTGGAGAAATAGTTTACTGCTGATATGACTGATGAGCTAATGGCTAATATGAGGGAGATCGAGACCAAAGTAGACTGTTGCTATTTTAATACAACTTCACTTTCAACAAAAGTAATATTAGCTTAGGAAAATATTGTTTTAAGATTTTTATTGCTTTCAGTCTCGTCAGAATTAAACTCTGTCTCTTCAGACTGAGTGGGATTAAAGAGATCTATAACAGGTAAGATATTAATAGAGCATTACCTTTCAACATAACCCCTGTCAATAGATATAAATCTATTCTGTTAAATAAATCCCAAAAGCAAAATCTATTTTTCTCTCAAAGAATACATTAGTAATCATGTCAGTGCATATTTGAATCCCCTAAAGTACTTGTTGGCACCTTGGGGCTCTGATGAATATATTTGGCACCTTGACATGAGATGCACAAGAACACCTTGAGCTGTACCAGGACACCTCGAGCAGCCAACATCAAGGCTCTGTTTCCGTATCAGTCCAGAACAGAGGCCCTACATGCTAAAATACAAAAACAAAATAAATATAAAAATGCACAACAAGCTGGGAGTAATTAATATTTCAATAGACTTTGGGCAGCAAAAGCCCACCAGGGAAGACAAGCCAGTAAAATAAGTGCATGTTGGGATGTGTGTGACTTCCTACTCAAAAATGAAACAGCCAGTTCTTGTTGAGCTCTCCAACTTTACTGCAAAACGGACTCCTTCTGGGAGATTAAAAAAAAAGTTTTCACATACTGTATAAATGGACTCCGTTGCTGAACTGAAGAGGTAAACTTATATGTTCCAGAGATGGAAGGAGAGGGGCAGGAGCAGAGAGAGAGAGTGAAACTTGTAAATTGTCAGAGCTGTGTGAAAGTAGGGCAGGTAGGAGAGAGCAGCAGAGACGCAGAGCCCGGAGAAAGGATCTATACTTGGGAAAAGGAAAACTTGGTAACTAGAGAGAGGAGGGAGCTCGGTCTTTACTCCAATGGACCCCCCCCCCCCCCACACACACACACACAGAAGAAAAACTGTCCATGTAATGTGTGCCTAGTTAAACACTAGCTCACGGCTGTCAGATGTTGGGCAGAGAGGTGTAAGGATGGCACCTTTTGCTGTTTCTGTTTGTGTCTGTGTTTCCTCGTCAGTTTAATTGTTGCCACCTTTGTCTCGTCACACCTGCTGTTTGTAATCACGTCTTGTCTTGTCCTTGTATATAAACCTCCTGTCCTGTGTTGTTCCTTTGTCGGGTCGTATTCGTTGGGTCTTCATGTTTCCTGCGTCTTCTGAATTTTCCCTGAGCTTCCTGAGTCATGTAAGTTTTGCTGCCACGTCAGCTTATTGTTTTGTTACCTTTTTACTTCATCATTAAAATACTTATTTTTGTAATCTGCCGAGTTGAGTCCTGTCTGCACTACTGGGTTCGTTCCTGTCCACCTGATCCTGACAAGAGGATTAAAATGAGGTGAATTGAGTGGGGCCAATCTAACATAAATATGAAGAAAAGTTGTTGATGCAACGATGGAACAAAAAAGGCAAATTTGCACTGCAGATAGTTCTGGTGTGAACTGTGCAGCTCCCTCTGTGCCTGGCATTCAGTTCAAAGACAGTCGGTTAGTTAGGGACACAGTTGTGTGTTCAAGTGGATGGACTTCACCTCCCACCCAACACCACCCCCCTCGCAGGAACAGCTGATGGATGTTTGATTGGAACAAACTTGTTTTGCTGTCATTTTATTGTTTTTGTCCATGCCTGTGTGTGAGCACACCGTTTGTCTTTAAAAGGATTACTGAGTTGGAACATCCATCCATCTTTACCCACATCCTTCTTTCTGGGTTACGGGGGTCAATGGTGCCCATATCCAGCAGTCACTGTGTGAGGGAGGGGGACACCCTGGACAGGTCACAAGTTCATCACAGGACCACAGGCTGACACAACAGACGTCATTTGATAAACAATTATTTCAGCTATAAAAACAAGACTGAAAAATACTGTAGGCTGTTTAGTAAAAAAGATTAAATAAATTATTAACACACTGGCTTGGCATTTTGTTTACGTTGCAATGCATTATGGGTAAATTATGTAAACAGTTTGCTTTGGTGCGGGCTACACTCAGATTGAATGTTAATTTTAGACATCATCTTATGTTCAGCCAGCCAGAGAAAATCTGGAGTGGCAGAGAAGGATGTTAGACTGGTACAGGACATGTATGAGGACAGCAGGACATGTATGAGGACAGCAGGACATTTATGAGGACAGCAGGACAGTGGTGAGATGTGCTGTAGGAGTGACAAATAGCTTCAAGGTGGAGGTGGGAGTG